ATTAACATTGTTAAAAGCATATTTAAGGTAGGATTCTTCTCACATTTCTTATATTTAAAAATTAATGAAATTGTAAGAGAATCAAGAGGACAATATTACTAAGTGATGGTATCAGTGAGATTAAATTTCACCGTTTAATATTACAGGCAAGGTCAGGTCAAGGTCATTACTTTTTTCCTGAACATTAAGAATAAAAAATTACTGTTTCCAATCTTGCGATCCCTACTTGTAATTCAAAATATTGAATGTTTTTCTTTTTGCATAAAAAGATACAACCATATAGGGCATATAAGATGATATTATTAAATTGACATAGATAATTCAAATGAAATGGATATTTGCTAATCCGAATTTCCTCTACTTTTCTTAAATTTTAAGGATATATTAGTTATTTTTTATATGCTTCCTATATTTAACTTTTTCTCATTTTCACATACAGTAAAGTTGTCATGTAAAGGTAAAAAATGATACAAATACTAGAAGTTTTGATCGTTTAATAAGAGAGAAATAACACTTTTTACGGATTTTTGGTTCAAATCTGTACTTAGATTGGAAGCATTTAAAAGCCAACACAGTTCTAGTATGTGTGAAAAATCTTGTTTATTTGATACATTTCGAAAATTTAGCCTCTTATTATTAATTTAACTTCCATTTGAAAATGTTGTCTTGTCTTTGATTGCGTAAAAATTATAACTAAATTCAATGTTCTATAATAATTTTGAGAGGCAGAAAAGAAGATATTTTCATACGCCACCATTCCGCCAAAAATATAGTCCCTGCTACTTTTCAAACGCAGTCTACCATTTCTATTTAAAGTTGTACAATTGTGACGAGGAAAGAAAAAAATGGTCTTTTAAATCTCTTACGCCTAAATATATAAGACATATAAGCAAATATACTTAGAATATTTCATCTAGTCAGAAACTAGAGAAGAATCCTACCTTAAGCGATATTAAGAGTTAAAAATCAAATACCACAATATTGTATGTATATTTCAATTGGATTTCGGCGAAATACTGTTCTGGCAAGGGTTTCGAGATATTTCTAATTTTTTTAAAACTCCAAACATTTAGAATCGGTAGCTCTGACGGCCATGTTTCGTGATCGTTAAACAAATTTCCAAGACAATCATCCTAAAAGTAAATTTATGTAATACCCGATTCTTGAAATATCATTGAGATCAAAATAAACCTTCAGCTATCTTCCTGGATAAAATATCACAACACAAGATTAGTGTGAATTGTCATTTATTGAAAATGAGAATGAGTATTCAATACTAGTATACAATTGAATTTTTTCAAAATACAATAAAAGAGGAGACCCATTCTTTTACATAACAAACTAAACTTGTATGATGATCTCCCCTGTAACATGTCAAAATAATGAACGAAATAACACAACAATTTTTAAAAAATTACAAGCAAAGAGTTGGCGTTCAAAAATAAAACAGAAGTCCTCAAAAAGCCCTTATACTAAATAAATGCATAAATTAAAAAAAGAGGAGAAAACAAAGTTCAATAATAATATGAATTCATACATCTGGGTAGGAAAGAAAAAGAAATGGGTCGAGGGTTCTGTCAGACTTATTTATATTTATTTTGACAGATACTATCAGATAGCTATACTAGCAGTTTTTGAAATTTTTAATCCCCGTCAAATGAAATTAATAACATTACAATGAAACGAAATATATGAAAATAACGAAAAGTATTCAAGCTCAAAAGTCCAATAGATGATATAAAATTACAGCAAAGCAAATACGGATCAAAAGTCCATAAAACAATACAAAATAGGAGCTTAGCAAACATAAATTTGTATGGCGTAATAAGTATAAGGGAGGTTTCCAATTGAAAAGTTAAAGTCATCGCATTTGTCATACTTTCGATTAAGATAAGGGTACTTTTATATCAAATCATTCTGGACATTTAGAATTTCACTGAATTCAATTAAAAGTCATATGAACCAACGTTTTAAGAATTTGCGTTGTATGCGGAAATGATTTCATCTGAGATTCTTTAATAAGCCTGAAATTAAATTAAATATATTTCTAAAAAAGAATAATGATGATTTCTTTTCTGGTTATTTTTCTAAACCATGACCAGATGATACTATCTATCATCACTGCCCCATACTCTTTAGTACATGCATTTATAAATAAAGCTGAAATTAATTGACCGCGGTGTGAGAAAAAGTGAGCTGCGCGGGCGAGTACTGATTTGTTTAGCTTTCGTACCTAGATACCCCTGGATAGCGGGTTTTCTTTGCGGTTGTAAAATTTGGCGATTTGCCTGGTCAGAGATATGCCAATAATTTTGGCATAATTTATTTTTAGCGGTCAGAGTTTCAGCACTTTGCAGATAAACACTAAGAAAAGTACTAAATAATTTGGCGATTAAAACTTTAGCGGGCTAACATGAAAACGCCAAAATGAGCTAAAATTAGCACCCCGCTAAAAAAAACCCCACTATACGGGTAATTGCGAACCTGAACATCATAAAGAAATGCTTTTTTCCCCGATCAAAACATGTAGAAAAGTTATTAATTGTGGATCGAGTACATCATTAAAATCTCTCTGGCTTTGTTTGCTGGACACCACCACTCGAACGAACGAAATCGTAAAAAATTAAAATAATCAAACGTTATCCTGAATGTTTGTAAAACAAGAAAGTCTTTTTTTTTTTCATTTAAAGGAATGCATTAACGGAATACATTTTTTCACGTATCTTGAAATATGGATGTCGTAGGAAATTCGTTGAAACCTGTGACAGCCATCACGTGAAGTGAAGAGTACACATGCATAAGTCTAGGATCATTAATCGGGATTTGGAACAAATTATTAAACTTGCAATAGAGTTGTCTAAAGTTGACTTAATGACCCAAAGAGTTGAAAACGCCTATAAGCCACATTTGAATTATACGTAAAGGATTATTGTATCTAACCACTGTCTGGCATCATCGGGTAATACATGTAACTGGAAGTTTATAGATATTATTACTATCAAAGGCAGCTTTTCGATATAATGCACAAGTCATCATCCAATCTCCCAGATTTGGAAATAACGCGGGGTTAAGCCTGCAAGACGTGTTGGGCGTATCCAAGCTTACCTGAACTGTCTTATCCGTAGTTGGGACGACGAAGCTGAGTCCCAATGTGGATTTTCATTACCCATATATATCACGAGATTGCTCATGTTTCCTTGTTAAGCACCCCTTTACGTGTACTTAACGATTTCTTATTCATTTTCGAACACCTCAAAGAATAATTTGTCATAAAAGCAAATATTACAATTTTTTTCAGGTATGTACTATAATTACGTTTCGGAGTATAGAATAGAAAAGAATTAAACTTCTTCGTAATTCTTTTAAAGAGAATTCACCAATATTGAATGAAAAACATATTAACAAGAAACCCAAGGGCTTGTAGTTGTATGAACATTAAAGTCATCTCACCATATGGAGAAATTCCACTGACCAAAGCCTAAGGAATTTCAACCATGTACTTGTTACCAAACTCTCTATAATTAATAACAAATTTAATACAATTTTTGGTAAGGAAAAAAAATACATATCTGAAATTCGGGTTCAAAATTATTTAAGGTTTAACCGCTCACTTTCTCACAACGAAGTCCATCGAATTCAACTTTACTTATAAATATGCTTGCTATTGATTACACATAATCATCTGATCATGGTTTAATTTTCTTTTTCAGACAACTAATCATCAATATTCTTGTATTCAATGTAATTCTAGGCTTCTTAATAATACACGAAAGCCTATAAGGATCAATTGACAGAAAATAAGAATTTAAAATCCTTTCGGGATAAAGCGGAAAAAAGTCTAAATAACGCCTATTTAAAGGGGTTATTACGCCTTTCTATTAAACAGGTGTCATATAATTACGCCTTTCCAAAAGGCGGTATTATTTCGCTTTTTCATACCAAGAAAAGTTATTATGCCTTTCCAAAAGGCGACATTACGCCTTTCTAAAATGCGTTATTACGCTCTTTGAATAACCATTATTTTGCCTTCGACAGGTCCGTGATTTTGATAGCCCCCTCTCCCTCCACTCAACTGTCCAATCTCAAGGGGGGACTTCTCATTAATACTTTATCTCAATGCAACAATTTTCCAAAGTTTTACCAAACTGTAACAAAATGTTAAGGAACTTAAAAGTGTGTGTGTGCGTGTGTGAGGGTGCGTGTGTATGCAAGAGAGGGTGTGTGTGTCGGGGGGTGGGGGTGGGTAGGGTATACCTTTGGCACTCATACTACCGACCTGTTTTAAAAGGAAAATATAAAGACGTTATTGAATTGATTGAAGATTGAATCAAAACCATCTTTATTTAAGCCATTCTCTATAATCCTGCACATCTCACTGACAACTGTTTGCATTCGTTTTAAGAGAGGTCAACACTCTACTTTTGAAAAACTAGGATAGAGGCAGATGCAGATTGGCGCTTTGCTTGCCATATACTAGTACTAGTATTCAAATTTATGGCATGTCAAACGTTGCAATATTTGATAATCTTGTGATGTATATTCAAAATCTTGTGATGTATATTCAAAATCTTGTGATGTATGTTCGAAATCTTGTGATGTATATTCAAAATCTTGTGATGTATATTCAAAATCTTGTGATGTATGTTCGAAATCTTGTGATGTATATTCAAAATCTTGTGATGTATATTCAATATCTTGTGATGTATATTCTTAAACTTGTGATGTATATTCTATAATCTTGTGATGTATGTTCGAAATCTTGTGATGTATATTCGAAATCTTGTGATGTATGTTTGATAATCTTGTGATGTATATTCGAAATCTTGTGATGTATGTTTGATATCTTGTGATGTATATTCGAAATCTTGTGATGTATATTCTATAATCTTGTGATGTATGTTCGAAATCTTGTGATGTATATTCGAAATCTTGTGATGTATATTCTATAATCTTGTGATGTATATTCAATATCTTGTGATGTATGTTCAAAATCTTGTGATGTATATTCAATATCTTGTGATGTATATTCGAAATCTTGTGATGTATATTCTATAATCTTGTGATGTATGTTCGAAATCTTGTGATGTATATTCGAAATCTTGTGATGTATGTTTGATAATCTTGTGATGTATATTCGAAATCTTGTGATGTATGTTCGATAATCTTGTGATGTATATTCGAAATCTTGTGATGTGTGTTCTACAATTCAGTGATGCGTGCAATAAAATTGCATGACGCAACAGAAAAGTAAGGACAATTTTCATTGGTTAGAAATAACGAAAGTAGCCGGAGCGGTCGTAATGCACACATTGACACAACTTCGCAAGCATGAAATTGACGAATTCAACCTAAAGTCAAAATTATAGGTAATAGAAAAATTGTTTTGGTATCAAGAAGCACTAAGTCAGTCATAACGTGAAAAGTGGGAATCAAGAACATTAATTTGATTTGTTTGAAGGTACATCAAAAACAATTTAGTGGCTTATTGCTGGACTAAACAGCTAAAGGATGTTTTATCCTATTTTTACGTCCTCATATTATAGTGATGTTGATTAATCGGTATGATTTATTCTATATTGGTGCTATATATAGTTAGAATAATCTAACTGTGTCTCGGGACAAACTCTCGCCACGCAGGGTTCGAAATTGCATGGCCCATTGCAGCTGCATTGACCGTAGCCCTAGTCCAGGGACGACTTTGCAATAAATAAATAAATAACACGACAAATTTTTAGGAGAAGGGGAATGTCTGGAAAAGATTAATTGCTATGCATCATTGAATATTGTCATTCACAAATTTGTCCAATTATTTTTATAGTAAATGTATTGAGCCGGGCTCATTTACAGGATAATGAACAAGGACTGTGGTGACAGTTTAAAATCACGTTCAGACGTTTAGAGAATATGTAATACACACAAAAATATCTCAATGGCATGTATAATATTAAATAGTTTTAAAAATAAAATAAAATATAGCTAGAAATTAACAGCGAAAAATATTTATCACGTATTGTGTCGGGGTAATCCGGCTTTATATACAAACAGAAGTAAATAAACACCAATCAGCAAGATTAAGGTCAAACGTCTCTGCACTGATGTGTCCTCAGCGGGGAGATTTGCATTAAGTCATTAATGATGTTCCCTGCATTTGTGTTAGCCTGATAGTACAACCTTTATTTATAGAATCAATCTAATTCAAATTAGATGTTAGATCCGCTTGCATACTCGCTACACTAACATCTAACAACATCCCGTTGAGGGTCACGTCAGAGGTCAAATTCTATCAATTAATCAAATCGCAGCTGGCAAAATCATCATATATTGTTGAAGCGAATAAATCTTGAGGCGTTCCGAATTTAACCTCTTACGTGACCCTCAATGGGATGACTTGTTAGATGTTAGTGTGGCGAGTATGCGAGCAGATCTAACATCTAATTTTAATTATATTGTTTATAGAGTATGATGCAGACAGGGATACCTGGTGAAAACCTTTCGCACCCGTTGAATTATACTTTGTAAAATATTAGTCAAAGGAGCCAGGAAAAAATATTAAACAATTTAATATTATGATAAAAATATTCAATTTACTATTTCTTAAGGTGTTGAATGGATTTTGTTTTCTCAACAGCGGCTGGTGCACGTACCATACTTTTACTCGTAAACTCAATTTGGCGGTGAAGAAGCAGCATTTTCTGTTGCTCACCGTCGCAATAGCTGAGCATGGCTCTACGAGCAATGTGCCCGGCTAAAAATCATAATATTTGTAATGATATATCATATTCTAGACTTGACATACAATAAACAATGATGAGAATTATTGTTGCATATCTGCAGTGATTTTCTTTGATCTTTCTGTGGTGATAATTTATCCCATAATATCACATGTGTGATAATACTTTCCAAACATGTTTCAAAGTTTTTACACTCTTTATCATACAGTTTTAAAGAACAGTTTTATGATCAGCTCATAAGTATATTAAATGGTTAATTTATCAAAACCTGCATTTAAAAATTCAGAAGTCTTAAGTTAAACCAAATTGTCCAGGGTATTCTTAGTAAGGTATGTCAAAGGTCATGGTTAAGTGACTTTGTAAGGCTGGTATTTTTTCTTTAGTTTTATGGCAATCAGTGCACATGGTAAATAGCATAAAATTACCCTTAAAGGTCTTATGCAAGGAGATAGCTAATTAAAATGAACAAATGTAGTTCTATGTATGATGTATATAGAGACAATAATATTTCTTTTCTTTTTTCATTTTCAGGAACTTTACGTAGGTCTACAGTTTTAATTTTGGACTCATGCACTAGGAATATCATATCAGCAGAATTGTGCCACTGAATCAAAGGGAACTCTTTTTTTTTAGGTACGCATGATCGATGTAACTTCCTCGATGGTGTGTTGGCTGTTTGCCCATGTGTATTTCGGGGTATAGGTATGTTTAGTCTCAATTTTCTTTCTTAAAAGCCGCATAAGGGGTATATTTTTTCTGATCTCAAATTTTGTCTAAGCATTAATCTTTTTTCTCATTCATGAATTATCTGCTGAGAGTCTAGTTAATTAATTTATTTAATTAAAGCTATATAGTAACATATAGTGAAATTATTTCCTTGTGTGAGACCTAAAGAAAATCAGGTTACTCATTTTTATGACAATTTCTTTGATTTCAGGAGTAGCCTCCCCTTTTAAAGATCAAAAATGGTGATTTTACAGTGCGGCATGCAGTCTGGTCTTCAACGAAGAGTTTTGACACCTGTAATACCCATATTTCTACCATTCACCTCTGTAACCTTTGTTGAGTTCATCAGACTGGTAAGAAAAACAATATTGTTAATTGAAATAATTTTATCAAGATAAATAAAATAATTAATGAAAAAAAAATTACATGAACACTGACTCCCTCATATAAGAAAATGTCACATTTTACACATTGCAATTATACATCATTTACATATTCACATTTTCCCCATTTACACATGCAGTTGAATAGATTTAGTGCTTAATAATACATAGCAACAATTATTACACGAATCCTAAGACAATTCACAAAATACATGAATGCATTAAACTGTGAAATACAGATTTCGTACATTTAATTAAAATGCACAGCATCAGTACCCCCCCCCCCCCCCCCTTCACAATCTTGCAACTTTCTTTTTAATTCAAAGTCACTAGGCAACACTAAAGATTTCCACTTATTGCTTTTCTGTCCAAGACAGGAAGTTGAGGAACAAAGTTGACAGGACATCCTGAACTGTCTTCGCTACCAGCTTATGAGGGAACCAGCTGCAGTGGACAAAGTATGTTACATCATAGGATAATAGGTAAGTCTCCGGAGTAGTGTTTGTAGCAATTCTCGTACTTGGTCCTGCATCGAAGATTCAGGACTATTGATATTTATCTCTGCTTGGTTTGGTTCTTCCCAGAAACATGTTACTGGTGGTGGTCCCTATATTCTTCTGGCTTTTGTGGTGAGGAATGTTTCATTTCTAGCTCTTTTCTGATCACATTTTGTCTATCTAGCTGTTTGTCTGTCTGTCTGTCCATCTGTCTGTCTGTAAACTTTTCATATTTTTGACTTCTTCTCTAGAACCCATGGACCAATTTCAACCAAACTTGCCACAAAGCATCCTTGAGTGAAGGGGATTCAAGTTTGTTCAAATAAAGGGCCACACCCTCATTCAAGGGGAGATAATTGGGAATGAATGTAAATTTGATGGTATGTTTTAAAAATCTTGTTCTCAAGAACCACTGTGCCAGGAAAAATGAAACTTATGGAAAAACATCCTCAGGTAGTGTAGATTTAAATTTGTTCAAATCATGACCACCGGGGGGAGGGCGGAGCCACAATGGCTGACCAAAGTTTAACATAAAAATATATATAGGAAAATTCTTTAAAAATCTTCTTCTCAAGAATGACAAAGCCATAATTGATCCTATTTATATGGAAGCATCCTCAGGTAGTGTCGATTCAAGTTTGTTCAAATCATAACCCCCGGGGTAGGGCGGGGCCACAATGGAAGATCAAAGTTTTACATAGAAATATAAAGGAAAAATCTTTAAAAATCTTCTTCTCAAGAACAGCAAAACCCTGATTGATCATATTTATATGGAAGCATCCTTAGGTAGTGTAGATTCAAGTTTGTTCAAATCATGTCCTCGGGGGTAGGACGGGGCCACAAAGGATGATCAAATTTTATATAGAAATATATAGGAAAATTCTTTAAAAATAACCTTCTCAAGAAAAGCAAAGCCATGATTGGTCAAGGGACTACTTTTGGATTTAAACTTTTCAATAAAAAACCAATTTTTACTTTTTCCTAGCCACAGTGCTCAGGTGAGCGATGTGGCCCATGGGCCTCTTGTTTTTTTTTTTTTAAAAAAATGATCAATCATTAAATATAAATAAATCAGTTGTTAAAAAATTTGCTTCATATTTGAAGTGCCTTAAACTGACCCTCTGATGAAAGTGACCAGTGTTTTTTGCACCTTGGAAGGTTTATTGGTAAAATATAAGAAGGAAGTTATGATTTTGGTGTTACTATTGTTGTTATTTAAGTTTGATTCGATTTTTATATTACGAGTATTATGAAACTGTTATTTTGTTACTGACCGATGGTTAATTTTAATTGTGAACAAATGTACAAAGATGAGGAGTATAATATAGTTGGCTATGTATAATGCCCAATTTTTGAACATACTATGTAATAAATATTAATAACAACCTTTGAATAATTGGAAAGACAATATTATAAATATGATAGCATTTTTGTACATGAGCATACATTTTTGAAAGGAAAAATAAATTATTCAATTGCATTAAAAAAAATATTTTGTTTCATATTCTTGCGAATTATCAGATCATTCTTCTATTATTTAAATACTCTGTCATTATGAAACCTTGTTAATAATTAAGTAAATATTAATTGTACATTTGCACCAATTTTTACATGGCATTTTCACACTAAGAATGCCACGTGCAAAATTATATACAGGAACAATTCTGAACAAATATATGCAAGTGAGTTGTAAATTTGATATGTAATGCATACATTACAAAAACCCATGACAGTGTTCACTAAAATGAAATGTATGGACTCTTATATAAATACTTGGTATATGTGATATGGATATTATGGATGATATTTTTGAGAATGACACAAGTAATGAAATTTTTCAGCATTGAATTGGATTCTTGAACCAGAGCCATGTGAACCTGGTCCACCTGTACCTCTCATTGAAGACCTGTTAACATCACCAGAGTATGTTCATTCTGATACCCCTATGGTATGGTTACAGCATGCATTATCCCTGAATCCATTAAAAGAGCTGCATTGGCAATGAAACAACCCAATGTGGTCGATTGTAAGGAAACATAGCATATCAGCTTCCAACTTTGGTGCAGTTCTCAGTTCTAAGCAAAGGCGGTAAGACGTGTGATTAAATTTTTGCGAAATAGACTTTTAAAATTACAGTCAAACTTTGTTATCTCAAACCCATTATCTCATATTTCATGGATATGTCAAAGTAATTTTGAAGTCCAAACCATTTATAAAAGACTGGGACATTTTATTCTTGATAACTCTTTATGTATTATTCTTGAATCCACGGATATTTCCAACATTTTTCTTGGTCTCATTGAGTTTGAGATAATGAGGTTCGACTGTAATGACTAGATATTTGTACATAAAGATGCAGGAAATATAAGATTAATAACCAAAAATCATATTTTCTTCTCCAGATTGACATTGTCACTGAAGAAACAGCTGATGTCGGCTTACAATCTGGAGTCCATCAAGGCTGTTGCATGGGGTATCACTCATGAAGATGATGCTTTGAGAAAGTATGAAAAGGACTTTGATGCAGCTGTAGAGCAGTCAGGTATACAGCACAAAATAACATTCATTCAACCTCTGACATGTTAACATTCAATGTGTCAAAACAAATAACAGGACTTATCCTGGTAAAAAAACAGAAATCAATTACTGAAGTCTAATTGTAAAAAAAAAACTAGAAATATGTCCATAGGACATGAATGCCCCGCCGAGGATATATTAGTAAAGCAACATGAAATTTGTACATGTATAAAATTTGATCAGTTTGGTTCAGGCAGGGCTTATAGTTAGTTGGGAATAAAAATGTAGGTCCAGCATCCAAAGCAAGTCTGGTAGTGTCCATCCCTAGATGCATCATCCATGCAAGTTTGGTTCAGGTAGGGTTTATAGTTACTTGGGAATGAAAATATAGGTCAGATCCAGCATCCGAAGCAAGTCTGGTAGTGTCCATCCCTAGCTGCATCATCCATGCAAGTTTGGTTTAGGTAGGGCTTATAGTTACTTGGGAATGAAAATGTGAGTCAGATCCAGCATCCGAAGCAAGTCTGGTAGTGTCCATCCCTAGATGCATCATCCATGCAAGTTTGGTCTAAGTAGGGCTGATAGTTCCTTAGGAATAAATCTGCTCCAAAAACTTCAACCTGGTCACTCATCTGGAAAATGTAGGTCAGATCCAGCATCCGAAGCAAGTCTGGTAGTGTCCATCCTTAGATGCATCATCCAAGCAAGTTTGGTCTAAGTAGGGCTTATAGTTCCTTAGGAATAAATCTGCTCCAAAAACTTCAACCTGGTCACTCATCTGGAAAATGTAGGTCAGATCCAGCATCCGAAGCAAGTCTGGTAGTGTCCATCCTTAGATGCATCATCCAAGCAAGTTTGGTCTAAGTAGGGCTTATAGTTCCTTAAGAATGGACCTGCTCCAAAAACTTTAATTTGGTCACTCATCTGGAAAATTTAGGTCAGATCCAGCATCCGAAGCAAGTCCGATAGTGTTCATCTCTAGATGCATCATCTATGCAAGTTTGTATCAACATGTAAAGTTTGATAACACCATCTTGAATGGTATGTTTAAAACAGAGCTAAACACTATTTAAGAAAAGTCAGGTCAAGGTCAAAGGAAAGGTCAAAGTCAAAGAAAATGGTGATGCAGTTGCATAGCTCTCATCAATATCTATCAGCATATGAAGTTTGACAAAAATATCTTGAGTAGTTTCTTTGAAATTTAGCCTTTAAATGAGCTAAACACAAAGTGTGACAGAAGGACGGAATACTGACATGACGAACACTATATGCCCTGACCATATCCATGGCGGGGCATAAATATTCAGTTACCAACATATTCCAGAAAATTTGCTTTTTGAAGTAGAAGGAAAATTTGCTTTTTGCATTACAAAATCAATTGTATTATGGTTTGTTTGCAAGGATTAATGGAAAAAGCTCGGAGTGTTACTTCAGATGGCTTTGTGCAGTGCATTACAAAATCATATTGTGTAGTGTCCATATACAGCATCGTCTTTTGCACAAAATTTGAAGGATTTTTCATAGGTAAATAACATTAAAAATCTGTATTGTCCATAGCTGCAATAAATTTTTTCTGGGAGAGGGCTACAAAGGATAATGGTGCAGCTGCGGGTGTGATTCGCTCCCGCACGGATTTCGGCTTAAATTATCAGTAAATGGCTATTTTATTAACATCTCTTACCTTGACTCCAAATAAGTAGTCATCCAAGACGTAAATCAATGCAAAAATATACAGAACGATCCCTATATCGCTTATTTTTCGTGTATGTCAACATCACAACTCGAATTTATCCGCCATGTTTACTGACCTTGATAGATTGTATTTTGGGACAGCCAATGAGAATTTAGGTTCTATAGGAGCGGATCTTTTTGGAATTCCCTTATTTTAAGCATAAATATCCCTGCTTGCATAAAAATAACACCTAAAATGGTTTTATATACCTATGTTTTTGTGATGAAATTCAGCACAATCATTTATAAACACCGATAATTGCTTTATTCAGTTGTTCTAAATTTCAAGCGAAAGTTTCATTACGTCACGCGTGAACTGTCATGGCTGCTGAAGTAAACTACCAGGAAACATGCAGAGTTATTTTGCAAGTTTTTCGCATTTAACGGGGTCTGTTGTTGACAGTGAATAAAAATTTCGTCTTATTAGAAGTAAGTTGAATGTAAAAATAATTTATTTTGCCTGCAGTCGCTCCTATTAAAAAAAAATATTTGCACCATTACGGAGATGCTATGGAATTGTAGCCCTCTCCAGAAAACATCAGATTAAAAAAAATCGGAGAGGGCTACATTATTGCAGCTATATTGTCCAGTACTTTGAAATTAAAAATCTTGGTGAGTAAATGATTTCAAAACATGTATTAATTTACAAGTGCAGCTGTTCAATATGGTATGAAGATATTGAAAAAGGAGGGGATATGTACTGGTATGACACAACTTAAGTGTTTTTTGATTTTTTTTTAGATCTTAAACAAGATATCCTGTGCCTGAAAACCAGTCACCCGTACTATCATCAAATTCAAGGCCAGCTACGCATATGTAACAAAACATTCTGCGACTTAATTGTGTGGACAAGAGTAGACTGCATTGTGATTAGAATAGTAAAAGACATTGAATGGACAGCAAATGTTCCAAAGCTGATAGATTTCTACATTAATATTTTCATTCCAGCACTGATGGAAAACTGAGTTCTGGTTTGAACTTCTTGACACTTAGTTTTGTACCTCTAGAATTTTCTAACAATGGAAAATGGGTAATCATGTTAAATGTGTTGAATGTTCCCAAGTCTCATAAATGTATGATATGATATGTCACAATCCAATGAATCCATCATAAAACTTCTGGCTTATAAGACTATTTTAAATAGCAATGATGATTAATAAAATATGTACTACATAAAAAAAGAATATCAAAATTTAGAATCATTTTATTAATGAATTGAAGATGTTATTCTCAAAGTGAAAATGTAACATTTTTGTCTTTCTTAATAGATAAATTGTTGAAAACATGAATTTGTTGAGTTGTGCTTTAAAGGTAAATATACTTTAAACTAGAGATTTAAAATTATAAGTAAACCCTCTTCCAAATTATATTGTCAAATGAAGAATCGAATTGCCAAACATTCTTGTAATAAATCCATGCTAAACAAAAGGGATTTTCATTTTCTGAAGTACATGTATTACAACATACTACAAAGTTAACAAATATAACCATTGACATTGATAACAAATCAAAATTTGCTTATCCCTTGCACTTTGGTATGAATATCTTCACTGTTTAGTGTATACTGTCACACGCCAATGCAAAGAACTATATGCGGTATTAACCAACATTTGCCCCCCAAAATCAAACTTTGATGGAGTAATATTTAATTAAGTCCTTAAACAGGGGAGTATATGCTGACTTCAAAGTACTGAATAATTTCATAAGTAATGACGTCATATGTACGTAATGACGTCACAAATATGACGTAAATTTCAGTTTTTTATGAATTTTGCAGAAAAATGTACATATTTCGTCGATATTTTAAATAAAACGAGCGCATGTGTGTTCAGGATTAATATTTTGATATAATGTGTAGAATGATAATATCAATGAAATATGTCAATATTGTTCCTGAACACACATGCGCTCTATAAATTCTAAAGCTTAAATTGTTGAAATTTTGTCCATGAAAAAGGATATAAAATCGTACTAGTTTGTGACGTCATAAAAACAGAAATTGTGAATACACTGCTCTGGAACTATAATATTTTCTGTTAACTTATATTTCTCATACAATTTATTGAATTCAGCACATTTCAGGAAGTTTTCAAAATCTGACTTTTGTGGGGGCAAACATATGCAATATACCGCATATAGTTCTTTATAATAAGTACATGTATCTTTAAGTAATTTCTTTCAAAAGTGGAGCTTGCAAGTTTACAAGACAAGAACAGAGTTGAAATATTTTTGTTGAGATTGGTCTGTAAGTAGATGGTATGTGACGGAGAATCTCGTAATTCTTTATCCTCTCGTTGGCTCTTTCCACATGAATAAGTGCTATAGCAATCTTGTAACAGTGCTGCTTCTTGTATGGTAAACTGGCCTCGTGTCGATAAAAGAGCTTTTATAATTAAGCAGACACCCTGGGGCAACTGGTCATGAATGGTGAAACCTTTGACCACCAAAATAAGGTCTCCAGCTTTGAACTTTCGTAAAACTTGGCTGTGACGTACAATAGCTACATCAGAAGTAGAACCTGGGTACAGCATGGAGCAAAATGTAAGTGCACCATTTGGAGGCACGCAAGTTACTGCTTTAAAAGTATGGCAACTTTTGTACATACTGTAGGCCATGGCCTGATTATCCATATGTGTTGGGATGTCCTGGGTTGTTTCATTTGCATCCATGGATGCTCTAGCAGAGGAAAAATCCTCAAAAGATTTTGGCAGAGACCCTGAAAAAAAGTTGGAAAAAAATTAATTTGATTATTTGTAATTGTGTAAAAAAAATTGTGTTACAGTCAATCTTTCAAGAATACAATAAATTTAACTGCATTAAATTTTTGCAAGTCATTATGATAAATTTTAAAACAAACCTTTGCATTTAAGCCGACTTGGAAAACATTCTACGCTACATTCTACACTACGCCATCAGACAGCATCTTGTATAGGGAAAAGACCACTAATTATTTTCCCATAGAACTCCATACAAACCTTAGGCCCTCTCAGTACTTTACTATGACAATTTCAGAAAAATCTTTAGCATCATTTCAAACTTTGTTCTAAGCCCTAACAAAAAATACTGAAAAAAATATATGGTCCCATGGCGTTTATAGGTCAAAATTGCAGTTATTTTCAACTTATAGAGATTCGCAGTAAATAACACGCGGCATAAAAAATTAACCCCCACTCCTAAAATCTTCCCTGGCATTTCTATAGTTTCTGTAATATTCCCTCATCCCATCATTTATTTCAAAGGTCATTAATTTTACTTTAAAATGAAAACAATTAAATACCTGATTTCAGCCAATGGCGTAACGCCTACCCATTCAGTATTCGGTTTAATGTTCCATAACAAACAAAGCCATGTGTGCATCCGGGGATTTGGTGCTCTCATTCCTATACTTACATACTTACCTGTCCCAGAATTAGTCAATTGTGGTAATTTCAAAGACTATACACCTACCTGTGAACATGTATGAAATTTGAGTCCTGTGACTTCAGTGTATTGGATACTGTGACCATCTCAAATGATGACACCTTACTGCTACCAGCACAGTTCAGAGGAGTGAATGAAGTCTGGGCCGGTGATGATATTTGGCTATATTGGTGACTGTAATAAATGAAATATTTGTACAATGAATTGTTTTTGTGTTTTAATGTTAATAAAGTGATATTAAGTCAAAATTGAGTCAATAATTTCATAAGGGTGGATTCTACCCAGAATTAGGTAAAAAGCTCCAAAATTGGATAAATCATAGTTAATTAAGCAAAATTCAAAGGTTTTAAAAAGACTGATATAGAATTTTTTTATGCTTATGCAAAGTATATTTTTTAAGACTCTGATATACTAATTGATTCTTATCTAATCCCTCCTATTGCTTAAGTATGTACAAAAAAGTTTCCCCACCCCCCAGTGAAAAACACTTAAAGAAATAGCAGGTGCCCCCTTTTATTTTTGTTTACAATTAATTTAGACAAGTTTAAATCAATCCTTTTGATAACAAATCAAAGTTCAATGTCTGTAGTCTTATACATTACAATCAGAAGCTACTTTTTGAATTTTATTCTAAGAAAAGGAGAATTTAAATAATTTTTTTTAAAAATTAAAGAAAAGCAAAAACTGAACCCAAAATGTACTTTACAATAAGAGGCTGGAAAGTTAATAAATAAAATTTTTACCTGCAATGTACAGAAAACTGTCCGACAAAATACATCGGTTGGGTAGGGAGTCTCCATTTTCTTCTTATATAGAGAAAATGCCCCTGCTGATCAGAGACCTAAACTCCCAAATAATAACAAAATATGTTAACATAACAGTCAATCTAAGATGTTCATCCCTCAATGGCCCGTGTCTGCAGTGTCTGTAGTCTTATACATTACAATCAGAAGCTACTTTTTGAATTTTATTCTAAGAAAAGGAGAATTTAAATAATCTTTTTTAAAAATTAAAGAAAAGCAAAAACTGAACCCAAATTGTACTTTACAATAAGAGGCTGGAAAGTTAATAAATAAAATTTTTACCTGCAATGTACAGAAAACTGTCCGACAAAATACATCGGTTGGGTAGGGAGTCTCCATTTTCTTCTTATATAGAGAAAATGCCCCTGCTGATCAGAGACCTAAACTCCCAAATAATAACAAAATATGTTAAAATAACAGTCAATCTAAGATGTTCATCCCTCAATGGCAACAAGTTTTTATTACAGTAACTGAAATTGTTAGGAAATAGGAAATCACAATTGGAATTCCTTTAAATGTACCTTCTCTTCGTTGTATTTAATATCGTGGATTGATATTGGCTTCCTTTTACTAGACTCTATTTTTAGGGCAAGCAATTCCTTTTCCAGTTGTATTTCTGTTGAGAGGCGCTGCATTTCTTGAGTACAGTTAAATGTGCAGGATGCTGAGTAGTTGTGCTCTGATATCAACTGAAAATATATTGTAAATCATGTACAGTTAAAAGAACTTTATATATTATTAAAAATTATTGAAAATGTTTCAGTGTTGGTCATTTGTCATTATTGGTGTTTTAAATGAGCTTTACTTTTTCTTGATATTGACATTTTGGTGCTTGTGGAATCTGCAACTGGTCCATCTGTGAAGATGACAGGGACTCCTCACTTTTGAGTTTTTTCCTCCTTTGTAAAATAATTAAACTTGAATTATTTTTTTATTCAGTTGTAAGCTACTCTGTTTATACATGTACCCTTTTAAAGATTTTTAGTAAAATATTCTCAATTAAACTCCACCCACCCACCATCCAAAAACAAGATGTCGGTCATATTTTGAAAAATAATTTCACCTTTTTGTACATTCAGGATCAGAGAAATCCATGGCCTTTCCTTCATTCCATGCAAAATATGCAGGGTCCCCCTCCTTCTTACCATCCTTAAAGTGGCAGGAGCAGATGCGATCATTCTGATCTCCTGGTTGGCGATCAGCTCATCTAAAAATATACATTATACAAAGACTGAGTGAAGGAGAATTAAAAAGCAAAACATGTTCATTTAGCATGTTATTATCAAATAGCCTAAATGACTTATTTTTTCATTATTTTTTTTTTTCAAATGTTACATTTACTTGCAAGTACAAGATAACCATGTGCATAACATTAACTAATCCGAGATTCCTCTGACTCTAACCCCCGCTTTTATATTGTGACTTGTGCGCACAAGTCACAATATAAAAGCGGGGGTTAGAGTCAGAGGAATCTCGGATTAAACATTAACAAACGGTAACAGTATTTGGTAGTAATAATACGAAATAAAATGTCATAAAAACAGCTGTTAAACAAAAATTAATCTTGCTACAAATTGCACAGTTTTTGTAGTATGTACTCTTCATTATTCTTCTGCTATATTGATTACTACGAGATTTAACTTTTTAGCATGCATGTATAAATACTGTATCTGACAATGCAGCATCGTGACATATCGTTACAAGTACCTACAAATTTTGTCAATACATCTACGTTTACTGAGTTTTTTCCCTAGCAGGCCGAAATATCTCCATCATGTCACCAGGAACAACACTCGTGCATCTCGTAATTAGTGCTGCAATAAACAAACTGATGTGTTTTTTCTCACCTGCATGGTTTTCCCGACGCTTCAGCTACTTTCGTTATTTCTAACCAATGAAAATTGTCCTTACTTTTCTGTTGCGTCATGCAATTTTATTGCACGCATCACTGAATTGTAGAACACACATCACAAGATTTCGAATATACATCACAAGATTATCGAACATGCATCACAAGATTTCGAATATACATCACAAGATTATCAAACATACATCACAAGATTTCGAATATACATCACAAGATTTCGAACATACATCACAAGATTATAGAATATACATCACAAGATTTCGAATATACATCACAAGATATTGAATATACATCACAAGATTTTGAACATACATCACAAGATATTGAATATACATCACAAGATTATAGAATATACATCACAAGATTTCGAATATACATCACAAGATTTCGAACATACATCACAAGATTATAGAATATATATCACAAGATTTCGAATATACATCACAAGATATCGAACATACATCACAAGATTTCGAATATACATCACAAGATTATCAAACATACATCACAAGATTTCGAATATACATCACAAGATTTCGAACATACATCACAAGATTATAGAATATACATCACAAGTTTAAGAATATACATCACAAGATATTGAATATACATCACAAGATTTTGAACATACATCACAAGATTTTGAATATACATCACAAGATTTCGAACATACATCACAAGATTTTGAATATACATCACAAGATTTTGAATATACATCACAAGATTTCGAACATACATCACAAGATTTTGAATATACATCACAAGATTTTGAATATACATCACAAGATTTCGAACATACATCACAAGATTTTGAATATACATCACAAGATTATCGAATATTGCAACGTTTGACATGCCATACAGCAATTCAATATCAAATCATTTAGATTTCATGCAGTAGTGTCATATAATTACATATCATTTAAATCCATTAGTCGTTATTCTAGCGTATATCACGAATCAGCATGTTTGATAATGCAGATTTTGAGTTACCATGGTCTCAAGTATCCTGGAATTATGCAAGGAAACCCAAAATTTTGATGCAATCTTTTTAAAAAGTTGTTAGAACATATTTCTCACCTTTGCATGCTCCTGTTTATCTGTTTGAGCTAAAGTGAAAAAAAAGCGGCGTGACCTTAGCATACACGAAATATAACCTTTGTTTTTCCAGAACTTATACATGTATTGTGCAGTCTTTTCCTGCTTTACAGTGCATGCGCAGTTTAATTGTCATATCATCGCTATATACTCATAATTTTTATAAATCGTTCTCTGTATGCTACAGATATCTTAAAAGAAGCATATTATTTTGACTCATTGTGTTACTTAAAAAAACCTTACAAAGAGGATCCTAACTAAAAATCAAAAATATGTAATTTTGTATTTTTGGAGGGAGAGAGAGAAAAGGGCATTCAATTGATATGCACACATTAATGGTTAAGACAATTGACAAAAAGACCGTTCATTTCCCTGTCTCTCAATTGTGAACTGAAGATTTTTGCAGTCATTGAAATAATGTTTCAGCAGGTCTTAATTACTGTTGTAAATTTCGTTAGTAATAGATGAGTCCAAGTTAACAGGAGACAAATTATATGTAGTTAATTGACTTTTTATAGATTAATTGCTGTAAAGAATTCTCTTCGGTTTATCAATGACGTGTTGCTAATTTATACTGCTAATATCATGTATTTACAATGAAAACAACAGTGTCTACATGTCTTATCGATTTGGTAACCGTAAAAAAAATCGCCAGTTCTAGGCTATAATCAAATAAAATGACACTTACATGCTTTCTAAAGACCTTTTTAAAATCAAACGTATAAATTATACGTCCATTATAATCAAGTCAGCAAATATTTGGGAAACCTAAATTTGGTCCGATTTTGACTAACAATTCTCAACCATTGTATATAAGCTATTTTTTTATGTTAGTTCTGGCCATAGATTATTCGTTTGCCTAATAAAATCAGAGAGAGAGAGAGAGAGAGAGACTATAATGGGTTTGTGCAGTTGAAAATGAAAGCTTACGACCCATCGGCACGTAATCCCATTTCAAATAACATTATATTGGCCAGCTTTAGATATGATATAAGGTTCGTTCGCGTCTGTTAGCTCAACTCCAAGACACGATGTAGTTAGGATATCGACACATTACTTTTTTATAGTTAACTACATGTATAAAATTTCTCTATCCTTGAGTATTTATTACAATACTTTCTGTTTTAAGAAGTCTTCCTTACCGTCAATATTCACTTTATCGTGCCGATATCGAATTATGGTTGTTCAAAGAATTAAGGTTTCCATCTATAAAACTAGTATTGTTTTTTAACAGGTGTTACATGTAATTGAAAACTATCTTTTATTAAACTTTCCCTGTAGTGTCGATATCGTTGATATCGACTATGTCGCTTCGATATCGAATCATGTTTGATATCGAATCGATATCGAATAAGTCCTTTGTAAATACCGTCCCTGTTACTTTGTATGTGTATTTATGTTTAATTACTTTACTTTTACGAACATTGTACCTGCCATCGATATCGACGATATCATATCAATATCAAAACATGATTGTTTAAATATATTACTTTACTAACCTTCACACTAATACAAAGTCTTTATTTTTAACATGATTTATCCCATGACAATAAGTTCTGTGTTTCTTCATGCAACGCTTGTGCATATTTACTTTCTGGTTAATATATATCATTGATATCGACAATATCGTACCGATATCAAATCATAATTGTTAAAACATATTAACAACTTTCACCCTCACCCAACATCTTACTCTAAACCTAATCCAAAACAATAATAACCTCTAACCCTTTCCTTATCATAATTCAATTTCATATTCATGCTAATAATGAATGAATTTGACATCACTTGTGACCTTGTAAAATTATGTTATACCTAACTGTGAAACTAATTTCAACAAAAACTCTTTTTGCGACAGTTAAATCAGCATTAACGGTCGCAAATACCAAACTAGAAAATAACTAGAGCCGAGCTCGTTGCAAAGCAACGAGTAGGTCTTCTGTTGGAGCTGTGGACAGGAAGTACAGACCTTGGGTCAAGGTCACTGCACTTTCTTATGTCAACAATCTTTCTTCCCAGCATGAGCCTCCAGTAAATTTTAATTATAAAGTTATGCTTAAACATTTTTTCTTTGTCAGTGACTTTGATTTGCCAGAAAGACATTTGATCAGGGTCATGGCAAAACCTCCAATCATAAGTAATGTATGTTCCAAGTAAGAGCCTCCAATGATTTTCATTTACTAATTCATAGCGTAGTAAAGAAAATATTTCTTCTGTCAGTGACCTTGATCTTAACAGAATAACGTTGGCTCTGTGTCAAGACAAACACCTTTTAGTGATTAGAAGTTCATAACCCTGACAGGAATTTTACAACTTTTCTGTCATTGGCCGATGAAGATGTTTGAAATTTGCATTATCTCGCACCATTTTGTCACAGGTCAGAAAAACAACATTGAGGTATTTTAAAACATCAACGGATATTAATATTCAAACAACATGGAGTTTCTATTTATGAAAGATAGACGGAATTGAAAGTCCTTTCCATAATACGTATTTTAGGGCAATAGCTTTACTTTCAATAAAATTAAACTCAAAAGTCCACAAATAAAATATCTTTCCTCATTTATTTCAAAGTTTGGGTAAAGGGGGTGAGGAGCATGGGGATGTCATGATGTATACGTAATACATTCGAGGTTATTATTCTGTTATAGGGCCATTTCACCAAGTACGATCTGGAAAAATCGCATGCAACCACGCGCGACCATGGTCGCACCTCTGTTTTTACGTAGTCGCGTGAAAAATCCGTGCGACCTAGACATTTATTTTCTCTCTGCGCTCTACGTTCGATGTTATCTCGTATAACTTTCGTTGTAAACGTTCTTGGTGCGTCCTACACGCTCTATTGACGCTCTTTGCACGCTCTACCTGCGCCTTTCCATCCGATCTTAACACGATCAAGGATCGTTGTGTTCGATCAGTCTACCATGTAGCATCGACCTCTCGACGACATATCTTCGAAAGTGTGCGACCTCTGCCGACCAGTACTCGACTCTGGCCGATTTCGGCTCGTACGAGTTGCAATAAACACTCGATCAATACGATTTAGATACGATACAAACGTTCTAGCCTCGATCTATACGCTCAATTCTAGTTCTTTTCTCAACTACTTCTCGTCCGAGTTACGCCAAATTTGCCCTGGTCGTTCAGATTTACGTGCGACCTACTGCTATCGTATAAAAAGACCCAGCGATCAGTGGGCGATCATCAGTTTTGACCAACCTGAAAGGAGCATGGATCCTATCGCTTTACATCATGCAATGCTATTGCAACATCATGCCCTGAAACTACAGCAAGACTCTATGATCATGCTGACGATGTTGAAGATGAGAAGAAAAAAATATACTAAAAAGAAATATTGGGTTGTTCCGTGGTTACGAGAACGTCAAAGAGATCATTATGGCCAGTATACCTCCCTCATGAAAGAACTGAGGCTTGGAGATGAAGCTTCCTATCGGAACTATCTGCGTATGCCACCGGAGATGTTCGACGAACTGTTGACCAGGGTTGGCCCCAGGATTGAAAAGATGGACACTAACTATAGAAGAGCCATAGAAACAGGGGTAAAGTTGACCGCCACCTTAAGACACCTTGCAACTGGTATAGATTACCCAAGCCTTTCTTATGACTTCAGAGTATCGCGCCATACGATAGCTACATTCATTCCACTTGTGTGTAAAGCTATTGTGGATGAGTACAAGAATGAAGTTATACCCTGTCCAACCTCAGCTGCTGAATGGAAGGCCATTGCTGATGAATTCGAGAGAAGATGGAATGTACCACATGCAATTGGGGCTCTAGATGGTAAGCACGTGGCCATCAGAAAACCAGCAAGTTCTGGATCTCTGTACTATAATTACAAGAAGTTTTGCTCCATCGTCCTTCTGGCTCTGGTGGATGCGAATGCCAAATTCCTGTGGATCGATGTTGGTGGTTTGGGACATCAATCTGATGCACAGATATTCAACGCCAGTGAGCTGCACGAATGCATTGTTGATGGTTCAGTTCATCTGCCAGCAGCTGAACCTATGACCAATGATGACGTTGATGTACCATTCTTTATCCTGGGTGATGATGCTTTTGCCTTAAAACCCTACCTTATGAAGCCATACACTAGGAGAGGTTTAACCAAGGAAGAAACCATCTGTAACTACAGAATTTCCAGAGGAAGGCGCGTGGTTGAGAATGCGTTTGGAATCCTGTCCTCACGTTTCAGGTGTTTGCTGACAACTCTACAACAGAATCCAGACAACTGCAGATTAATTGTGGAAGCTTGTGTTTGCCTGCATAACATAATGAGAATGAGGTACCCAGCACTCCAGAATGCAGATATGGACATGGAAGATTTAGAACACAATATTATTCCTGGAGAATGGAGAAACTCGGGAGATCTGCAAGACTTGGCCTACCACTTGGGCCGTAATAGGGACAACGCCGAGGGGAAGAAAGTACGGGACTACATAAAGAACTACTTCAACAGTCCTGTTGGTTCTGTTCCATGGCAAGAGAAAATGGTGACCGCAAAACACAGAGTTTTCTGAGTGTCGTTGCTAATATGATATATCTCTAACTTTTAAACTTTTCATAATTATGTGTAATAAACAACAATGTGTAAATGATTTCATATATTTAATGTATGATTAGAGATTAAAATACAAACAAATCAAAAGGAAACGACCAATAAAATAAAATAGAATAAAATGAAATTCAGAAATAAAAAAAAAAATGAAAGAACAATAAAACCAAACTAAAAACAGAACAAAATACAGCACCACCCCCCTCCCCCCAAACAAACACAGTAGCCAACAACAAAAAACTCACCAAAACTTACAGAAAAAACTGGGGGGAAAGAAAGAAAAAATATTGAAAAAAAAACATTGAAACCAACAACAAAAACCCACCAAAACTATCCGAAAAAATGGGGGGAAAGAAAGAAAAATATAGAAAGAAAAAACGCAACCGTAGCTTCCGAAAAAATATTGCGTGATTGTACTTATCCATGGCAAATTGGTTTATAGTAAAATTAAACTTTAAAGAGGCGTTTAACAATACAATATCTGTGTTACAAACGTCAGCAGTCATTAAAAATGTCCTCAGATACAGACAAAACAGGAAAGAATATCAAGATGCAAATATTCATAATGCATGGCAACTGATAATATAGCGAAATTAGGCTGCTTAGTTACTCAACAAATTACAATTACTATAAGGTACAAACGATAACAGCCATTTTATCATCGTGTACTACATGTAATTGCTATGCTCCCTGACACATAGTCGACGAAAACTAGAACTGTTGCATCCAACTAAACATCAATAATTCATAGCAAATGTCAATATTGACAATATTGCAAATTAGGCTGAGGAGTCTTTTTCAGGGTTGTCATCAGTTCCTGTTGCAGATGGTCCTGGCCGAGTTATTCCCAATGAACTCAGAAAACTGTCTGATAAACTAGGATCCCGGCTAGCAGAAGGAGTCTGCAGAGTGTGAAATACTGGCGATGATGACTCTGGTGGGCAGCTGGAGGACCTGTAACCAGGGTAGTTCTGCTGTATATACTCTGCATTCATGGAATTCCATACAGATACTCCTGGAGTTGGGTTTGGGTTCCATTGGTTGGGGAGAGGCTGCCAACCACAATCTGATTGCTGACACTGTTGCTGCCGGACCTGAGGTTGTTGTTGCTGCTGAACCCGAGACTGTTGCTGCTGCTGGATTTGAGGCTGTTGTTGTTGCTGAAGACGTCGAGATTCAACCTTTGCAGAACGGACAAAGACATCGCTGACCAGACTGTCGTAAACCGCCTCGGGCAGCTGAACTAGAACATTAGTAAACCATTGCCCAAAAGAGATCCGCTCGTTGACACCCGATGGCCGCAAGGTCCTCATAATCTCGTTGGATTGCTGGAGGAGGTCAGTGGTCCTGATCGATTGGTCGTGGATCCTCGAGAGCAGATCATCTTGAGACATGTTAGCTGTGACCTTCTTCCTGTGCGGTCTGGCTGTACATGTAGGTTGGGTCGAAGTCCCAGGAACTGGGTCGTTCAGGTTAGGCAAGGGACCAGGGAATTCATCAACTTCATTATCAAGGTCAAGAGGTTCCTCGACAGATGCCTGACTGCCGGTTTCACCATCTGGTCTACTGGTTGCCTCGGTGTCCACAGGTCTACTGGCTGCAATCTTCTCCTTCATAGAAACAGCATTGCGGCGGGACACCTCGACTATATGTGGGCACAGAAAGTCAAAAACTCTGAGAATCCATCTGAAACAAAAAAGGGAAACATATATAAATAATACAAATGTAGTTTAGTATCATAATCATATCCTTTATATGCATTTTTGAGGGTTGTTTTGAATTGTTTTATTTGTTATTATGCATCAGTAGCGGATCCAGAAATTTCTAGGGGGGGGGGGGGGGGCACAACAATTTTGGATGCCAAATCGGGAATACTACTATTATAATTTGGTAATTTTTTTGGGCGAAAAGGTAGGAGGCCTCTACATCCGCAACTGTGCATGGTAATTATTTCATGACATAAGATGATAAATTTTAATCTGACAAACGTTTCACATTATCTGTAAAATACTTTAAAAGAGTACACATGTCGATATAATGGTATATAAATATTTGGAATTACAATTACAAATTAAGACAAACCCTTAGCAAATTTCCAAATTTAATTTTCATAGCTAAAGATTTATTTTTTAAACAAAACATAAGCGGTGTCACAAATCATAAAATATGGCGTAAGATGATATCACAATGGTACACGGATGTATTACGGAAATTTTAATAAGAAAAATCTTATATAAAACAACATATTTTTAAATTCACCTATCTCTATCCGTGACTTTTGGAGCTCCTTGCCCAGATTTGGTCTTCTTGAGGCGTCCAAACCTGGTTCTCATGGAGTGGAACCAGTTGCTTACAATATCAGCCGACAGATCCATTTTCGTAGCTATCTCCTGCCATGTCTGTCGCCTGAGATCTTTATTGAGCCACTGTCTGTTGGACTTATCATACAGATGAACGTTCTCCTGTATAAGGCCGACTAGCTGATCTTCCTGGTCTTCAGAAAGCCTAACATGTAGCCTCTGTTTTTTCGTTGCATTAGTAGTCTCCTCATGGTTATCCTCCGTCATTTCACCTGGGATCTCCTCGACTTCAGCCTCAATAGCGGTGGGAGAATCCTGAGGGGATGGGTCCCTTGGTGGGGCAACTTTTCTTTTCCTGGGGCCAGCTGCAGCCTTGGTTTTTCCCGCCCTCGACATGATTAACTCAGACGTGTTCAAAAGCTAATCGTGTAATGATCATCGCATGAGCTTGCGCCCTATCTGCACAGTTTTCAGTAGGCGTGGCTTAATCGGATTAGGCGAAGGTAATTCGCAACTTAAGCGAGAAATGATCTTTAGTGGTTGAACCTTAAACGCACATAGATCGCACCTCAATCCTCTGATCATAATCAAATCGTGTCCATTTCGCAAACAGTGAGCGCACTGGTCTAAGGAAAATCGGGTGCGGGTCGCACGAAGCGATTCTTGATCGCAGCAGATCTAGGCTACATCGCATGGATCGAGCGAGTGTTGAGAATTGATCGAGCAGCACGACCGTGTGCTCGATCAGTTTTCGCTCAAGAAGACTTAGCCTCGCTCATCCCCGCTCTAGCCTCAATTGCCCCTCAATCAATACGTCTTTTCCTCGACTGTATTCGCTGTTTCGACGCTCTCTTTGCGACTTTTAAGTCGAGGCTCAGTTTTTTGACATGTCAAAAAACTGAGCTGCGATCTATTTTTCAGGAAGACCATTCTTCGACTTAGAGCGACCACAGGAGACCGAGGCGTGACCACTTCGCGGTCAACCTTCGACTTTGTGCGATCTTCAGCGATCAAGCCACGCTCTTAGATCGCAACTCAGTCTTCCGGGAAGAATTTTTGGTGAAATGGCCCTATTAGACAGGAAGACCCGAGGAGTTTTGATTTGCTGATCATGATCTAAAACACGTTGACAAACCGAAACCACGTGGTTTTATACACGTTATTCAATCAATTAATTCATAATTATTTTCCTTGAAGGAGGAATGCATGGATAAAGGATTAAAGAAAATTCCCGATGTACAATAGCATCCGTGCACGGACTTCGTTTTAGTACTACATAATGATATTGTGCTTAAAGTTGAATAAAATCATCAAATAAATTAAATTTAAATAAGAAAGGGAGATTATGTTTAATAGAATAAAAATTAGACAATACTTGATACAGGGACTCGCTGGTAAAAACCTGAATGTACTTGAATAAAATGCCTCCCACTCGTTTTCTATCGTACGCGTATTTTTTTAAACCAAGGAAAGTAATTTGCGCTAGATATAAGCTCATCATTTTAAAGAAAATACTGAGTTATATACGGTAAACGATACAAATGGTTTGACTTTGGTGCCGGTTATGATTTTAACAGTTTAATTTAGGTTGTAAAAGCGTTTAATTACATGATAAGTCTGTAATATTCAGATAACATTGTTACCCCGGTATATAAGTTCTTAAATTTTCGATTCTGGACATATGCGGGTTTATTACTACTTGAATGTACATTGTATAACCTGCTAATGATATTTAATCACGTAACAAAATTACAATGTTAGCACACTATACTTATCATTTATACGGGTTTTGAATAAATTATAAAACAAATTAAGTTCATTGCTTTAAAATCATTATTTCTTGAACTTTACTATAAAACCTGTAATATAAATTAATAGACAGTGTGCAGCACAGAAGTCACTTATGAAGTTTACACGTGCCGGTGTTACTTATCGATGTTTAGTCCATTTCATTGAGTATAATTCTATCCTTACGATTCGGAAGATTCTCTTTCAAAGTTTAAAATTGGTATAGCCATGGTTAATATCTGTGATAAAAAATGTGTTTCGGAAAACTTGTGTTGAAAACGGATTTATTTGTGTGTGAAAAGAGCAAAGCTTGTGCATTTTAATAAATATTGGTTGAAGTAAAGTAACTGCAGATCGCCAGTCATTGCGCTATGAATCGTCAAATTACACATGGATCTAACGAATATTTAAGAATTGAAGACTGATTTATGTACATGTAAAATAAATGCCCCAGCGTTTTGTACTAAAGTCAAACCTAAAACATTTTAAGATATTTTTGAAAGATTTAATTTACTTAGAGAAAATAATATTTTCTTACTGTTGTAGAATGGTTTGTATATACCAATTATTTGCCTATGACTGCGTGGCCAATGGTTCACCGCGGTGTGTCGCTTTAGAATTTATCGGCAGCGTGTAATCGAAAGATAGATTACGTAATGGTAAACACACTTTAAAAAAAGAATCTTGGTTCCAGGTGAATATGAGAATCGCGCAGTAAATAATTGTGTTTTATTTGACTCTTAAAAGTTTTTTTTTATGAAACCCGTTTTTATTGTTTATGTTCATATTTAAACGAATAAAAGATACTAGTACTTTTTTTCTATAACTCTTTCTCTTGGAAAGATCTTTATTAATAAAAGGAAAAAGATACCATCGA